TTCCCTTACCACCCTTTCATTGTTGTCATGCCAATGGTGCAGGGACACAGAGTGAGACAAGAAGTACAGGTGGTCGAGTGGGACTCTACCACCCTCCTTTTGAGAAGTGTGGTCTTCCTAGAAGCAGTTTGCAAGAGGGTGCAAGTGGGAAGACAATCTGACTCATGGTTGGCTTGACTCACTATTGGTAGCCTTGAGTACAGCTCTGAACATCCAAGTGCGGTTGGCTTTGCTGACCTAGCTAGGATATTTCCCATCCTTCTCTAACCTTTCTCCCTAGGATTCAACCTTCTCTAAGTTCCCAGGATGATCCCAACCCCTTAAGAGTCCCCTCGGCAATGTTGTACTCACCTCTTCCTTACATCAACAAAACTACACGTTTTCAGCCGAGTTCACGTTTTCGTTCACTGCGTAGTACATGCACCTTTGATACAAGCAAGTGATATACCAATTGAAAGCAGACACCAAAGGCTAACTGCTGTTCAAGTTTCAACCTCGTATGTTATTGGAGCTGGTCGTGGCGGCGTTTTGAATAGAGGCGGTGCGAAGTCGTCAGTTTCTACTTAGGCCGTTTCATGGGCATCCGCAACCCCTAAGTGGACTCTAGACTATAACAAGTGGTATCAGAGCTGTTCTACTCTGTTCGTGGGTGAATATGGAGTCTGAAGGTTCTGCTCCAGCTGGTCCCAGTGGCAATGGTGGCGTGAGAGGCGCTGGGGAAGCGAGAAGAGGCGTTGCAGGCGGATCTGCATCAATGGCTTCCGTTTCAACATCAGCTAAGGATGATGTTGTCAAACATTATATGTGTTACTGTTCTGTAGGCTACAGTGGGTTTAGCCTTAGGGGGTACAATATTCTAGGTTTTCTTACTTGTACTCCCAATCTTGCTAGTCCAACCACTTCTCTCATTCTGACATGGTATTACGAGCCTAGGTTAGTAACCTAGGACCGAACGTTCCTAAGGGCCCACCGTTCCGCTAGTAGCGCCCTCGTGCGCCCTCTCTTGATCACGCCCTCGTGCGCCTCACTCCTAGTGCGCCCTTGAGCGCCCCGTTTTTCAGTCACGTAGCCAGCTAGTCCCGCCCGCGCACGGCCCGTTTTTTGCTCGTGCAGCCCGCTAGCCGCCCGCGCGCGGCCCGTTTCTAGTGTGCGCGACCCCGTAGCCGCCCACGACGTCGACGCCGCCCATGCGTAGCCCGCCATGGCCTCGCGCGGCCCCTAGAGCAGCCTGCGAGCTGCCCGTCGACCGGTGCGCGCCGCCACCTCACCTAAGCAGGCCGCCGCCCGTACGTAGGCCGCCGCCCACGCGTAGGCCGCCACCCACGGCCGCCGCCAGCACGTAGACCACCGCCTCAAACCGCGCGCCGGCCCACCCTCTCTGCTCGAGCCGCGCCGCGCCATCCTGCCCGAGCCACGCCGTCCTGCCCGAGTCATGCCGCCCTGACCGGGCCGCACTGCCCTACTGTGCACCAATTGCAGCACCTGCTGCTCTTGCTACTGCTACTACTACTCCTCCTACTACTATTACTATTCCTATTGCTACTACTGCCACTATGGCCAGTCCTACCGTTCTCACTTTTGACGCTGAGGGCCGTCCGATCAAGTTTGACGTTTGGCTCGATGACCTGCACCTGTTCCTCCAGATCACTGCGAAGGATGTTGTTTCCCTGTTTGACCACACGTCCGGTGTAGCCCCCGCTCCTGTTGCTACTGCTGACAGTAAAGCTCGCTCACAATGGCAGACCCGTGACACTCAGGCTCGACTAGCCGCTCGCAGCCACCTGCCGTTAGATGCGCGCGAGAACTTTGGCCAGCATAAGACCGCTAAGGAGCTGTACGATGCTGTAGTTGCGCGCTACTCCTCCCCTGCTACTGCTGCGATAGGCCGTCTCTCGCTGCCCTACCTCTTCCCCGATCTGTCTGACTTTGCCACTGTAACTGACCTCATCACTCACCTTCGTACTAGTGATCTCCGCTACCGTGCTGCGCTCCCCCCCGATTTCCTAGCCAAGAACCCTCCCCCGATGTACCTCACACTCTACCACCTAGTCACCCGCCTCCCTGACTCCCTTCACACCGTCAGGGACCACTTTCTCGCCCTCTCCCCCACCGTCAGAAGCGCTGATGATCACAAGGCGCAAGTGCCTTGGTGAAAACGTTAGCAGTGTTGGCCTCAGAGGCCACGTACACAAGCCGCAACTAACCATGCTGCTGTAGCTCACGAGCAAGGAAGTAGCGGAGAGCAATGTGCTTCGTTCTGTGCTCCAGACGCTGCTCTCGACACAAGGCTAGCATGGCCTTGTTGTCTACGTACAGAGCTGGAGGAGAACGAGGCGGCTCTCCAAGGTCGGTCAGCAGGTAGGTGAGCCAGCGAAGCTCCTGTGCAGCCATGGCCCCGGCGTAGATCTCAGCCTCACAACTGGAGCTGAGAACTGAAGACGAGCGAGTAGCCCGCCACGAGACAGAGCCGGAACCAAGGCTGAAGGTGTAACCCTCTGACGACCGCTGTGTAGCCTGGTCGTCAGCCCAGGAAGCGTCTGCGTGCCCAGTAAGGACCACTGGACTCCGCCCTCCAAGCACTAGCCCCATGCCCGACGTACTGCACAAGTAGCGCAACACCCTCTTCGCTGCAGCCATGTGCTCTGGTCGGTGTCTCCTAGGAGCAACATAGCGTGCAAGAATGCTAAGAGGGTATGCAAGGTCAGGTCGTGTGCAGGTCATCAGGTACATGAGGCAGCCAACAAGCTCTGGATACGAGCCACTCGACTCTACGGACTCATCCGAAGGCAGAGCTGAGAGTAAGTGGCGAGTAGGCAGAGGAGTGGCCTGAGGCGAGGAGTACGTGAAGCCGAAGCGCTGAAGGACCTGCTGCACCATGTGTGACTGAGTCAAGGTAATGGTGCGGCGTGCTCTGTCCCGGGTGATCTGCAAGCCAAGGTAGCTGCGTAGTTCACCCAGGTCTGTGCACGTGTGTCACTTCTGCAGCTCGGACTTCACATAGGCGAGTCCAGCAGTCTCAGCAGTGGCAAAGACCAAGTCGTCGACGTACACGAGGATGTAGAACGGCGGCAGAGAGGTGTCGGTGCGCAGAAACAGCTACGGGTCGGCAGTAGAAGGAGTAAACCCAAGAGCCGCAAGTGTAGTCCTCAGTGTGTCGTGCCACTCACGGGGCGCCTGGCGGAGACCGTAGACTGGACGCCGGAGACTCCACTGGGTACCAGGAGGGAACGACCCAGTGAAGCCAAGTGGGTGGCGCAGCCAGATCTCCTCATGCAGGCTGCCCTGCAAGAAATCTGTGCTGAAGTCGAGAGAGTGCAGCTCGTAGTCAAGGTGAGCAGCAATGTGCAGTAGTACCCGAAGAGTGGTCATCTTCGGGGTAGGAGAGAAGGTATGAAAGTAGTCAACCCCCTGCCGCTGACTGAAGCCACGAGCCACGTACCGTGCCTTGAAGACAGGCGCAGAACCCGGCGGCCGCTTCACCCTGAAAATCCACATGCCACTGACGATGTTTGCCCCAGGAGGGGGGACAGCGTCAACGTAGGTGCCTGTGGACTTCCAGGAAGCCATCTCTGCATCCATAGCTGCCTGCCACTGAGAAGAGTAGGGACCCTCTATCGCCTCCGCGTAAGAGCGCGGAGTTGGGATGTCAAGTGCATCCGGGTCTCCCTCAGGGGTAAGCAGTATGGACACGAGATGAGGTGAAGTAGTGGCCAAGCACTAGAACTCCTCCTGCCTGTCCTCAAGGACATCCGTGCCAAGGGCACACTCACCCCCGACGGACGGAGGACAGACAGACTCAGACTCAGCGACAAGACTAGCAGCATAGTCTAGGCGACAGCGAGCAGCAAAGTCGACGAGCTCAGTAACTAGGGCAGACGCAGCAGTGGACTCGAAAGAAGGGTCAGTGATGACAGTAGCATGGAGACGCATGACAGTAGGACTGGCAGCACGAAGAGAGTTCGACTCCGGGTCGGCAAGAGTAGGTAGAGAGGACGCAGGAGGAGAAGGCAAAGGGGCACGCAGAGGAGCAGTGGACGGACGCAGAGACATCTGGTGCATGCCAGGGACAGGAGGAGGACGCTGACGCGAACCGCGACCACTAGCGCGAACAGCACGAACAGGCGACGCAGGACGAGACGCAGGCTCACGACGCTCAGCAAGACCTCCAGTAGGACCAGTGTAAGGAGAGGGAGCAGGTAGTGGGGAGGCAGGCCGTAACTATAGCTGTGACGGGACAGGTTGTGGACACTCTAAAGAAGGAGGAGGACCTGTAGACGGCAGAAGACCAAGAACCTGCTGCAGGAGTGGAACGAAGTACGGTCGAGGCCGCGCGGCGACGCTAGACACAGCAGGGACAGCACCAGGACCCCCAGCAAGAGCACCCGCTCTAGCAGCATCTCCAGCAGCTCCAGAACCTCCAGCAGCACCAGTAGCACCCCCAGCAGGACCGCGAGCAGTAGGCTCAGCACCAACGCCCGCAGCAGCACCAGCTCCAGTCGAACCCATAGGCCCAGCAGCTCCTGTACTCCCAGTATGAGCACCTCCGGGACCAGCGGCACCAGCACCCTCAGCAGCCGAAGAACCTCCAGCTCCAGCAGCACGCCTCCAGCGCCGGGCAAACCACTCGCGCAGCTCGGGTGGAGAGAGTGGCTCCGGACGAGACGAAGCACCCGGAGGACCTCCAGGCGTAGCACCTCCAAGCTCAGCACCCCCAGGCTCAGCACCCCCAGGCTCAGCACCCCCAGGCACAGCACCTCCAGGCGTAGCACCCCCAGGCTCAGCACCCCCAGTCTCAGCACCCGCAGGCTCAGCACCCCCGGACTCAGCACCCCCAGGCTCAGCACCCCCAGTCTCAGCACCCCCAGGCTCAGCACCCCCAGTCGCAGCACCCCCAGGCTTAGCATCCTCAGCAGCACCAGAGTCACCAGTAACCTCGACAGGCTCGACTGCGTCTCCCTGGGACACACCTGAAGGGGCAAGACCCTGAGGGGGGAGGGGGTCTACCGGGGGGGGGGACCTGGTACAAGGAAGAGCGGGGGGGCTGGGAGGGACGGAGTGTGGTAGGGGAAGAGGCGGTAGTAGGGGACTGACTCGTCAAACGTGATGTCCTGGGAGGAGAGAACACGGCGGGAGGTGGGGTGGTAGAACTGCCACCCCGGCGCGTCAAGGGGGAACCCCAGGAAGACGCAAGGAGCAGCACGAGGGGACAGCTTGTCCGCAGACAAGTCGCGGACAAACGCCCGAGATCCCCAGACCCGGAACGCCGACGCATCGCCAACCTTCCCCGTCCACAGCAAGGCTGGGGAGGTCTCCGGCCTGGAGACCCTGGGGTGGAGGTTGATCTGATGCACCGCGTACCTCACCGCACGCCATAGAAAATGGGGGGTAGCCTCATGCATCATGGACGTACGAGCGACGTCCATGACCATGCCAATGCGGCGCCCAGCAATCCCATTTTGCTGCGGAGAGTCCGGAAGCGTGAATGTCTGACGGATGCCTCGTGCGCGACAGTAGGCTCTCAGAAGGCCAGAGGAAAACTCTCCGCCTCTGTCCGAGTGCAGACGCAGAAAGGGAAAGTCCGAGCCAAAGCTCTGCCTGAGCTGGAGACGAGCTGCGCGGATCCAGTCGATCAGCACCTCAGTGACATCACCCTTGCTGCGCAAGGGGAAGACTGCGGTGTAACGCAAGTAGTCGTCAACAACAAGCGGGAAGTAGCGCTCGTGACCTTGTCAACGGACGCGGGCTAGGCCCCACACGTCCATGTGAAGCGTCTGCAGCAGGGCCTCTGTCGGAGGAAACTGGGAGGAGTGAGGGGCAGCCCTCTGGCGCCCCTCAACACAGGGGACACAGGAAGGGCCAGGCCCCTGAGGAAGGGGAGGGAGGGACCTGGGGAGACCAGAAACAAGAAGACAAGAGGCCATACCCCTGAGCCGAAGCAGAGAGGGGTGACCAAGGCGGTGGTGCCAGAGGAGAGTCTCGTGAGAGAGGAGACGACACGAACAGGTGGCAGACTCATGACCAGACCTAGACTGACGTGTAAACGTAGCCAGGTGTCGGCCTGTACGAGCCTCTGTGCAGTGCGTCACTCGCTGACGCGCAGGAGTGAACTGGTGCACTCCCCCATCCTGTAGGTCAGCACCACTCACCAAGTTCGTAGAGAACAAGGGGAGGTAGAGACCAGACAGGGTGCCAGAGGGAGCCGCCGGACACGGGAGGACTGTGGAGAAGTGAGACAGGACAGGACCCCCAGAGGGGTCAGCCAGAGACACCGCAACCGGCCGACTAAGCGGCGTGAGTGTGGTGCGGTCCCGAAAGAAGGAGCGAGAAGCCCCAGAGTCAAGGGTGAAGGTGAGGGAGGCCGAAGCCGATGTAGTACCTGAGAGCGCAGACTCACCAGTACCTGAGGACGCAGACGCACTAGCACCTAGAGCAGCAGCGTCGCAAGCACCTAGGGCAGCAGCCGCACCAGTACCTAGAGCAGCAGTCTCAATGCCCGGATCGGGCAGGAAACACCGGTAACAGTCACCCTCACCACTAATTGTCACAGAATACATGGCAGACACAATAGCATCAAAATCAAGATCATAGATGGCAACTCCCGCCCTACACAGCTCGCCCCAGCGAGGGATCTCTGTGGCCTCAGGGAAGTGGTGACGCCACGCGTCCGTCAGGCGGCCAAAGCAGCGCTGGGTGGGGTGCGCACCCCCACACTGCTCACCTGCACGGTCGCTAGTGCGCAGGACATAGGTGCACGGACGAAAACCCCCACCCCGCTAGCGTGCAGTGTACCACTCACGGAGTTGCTGAGGGGACAGGGTCTCACGACCACGCTGCTGCTGCTGGCGCGGAACACCACCGGAGCCACTCCTCTGCGTAGACCCGCGACCAGCTCCACCGCCACCTCCGCCTCCTCCGCCGCCTCCACCGCCTCCGCCACCACCGCCGCCTCCAACACCACCGCCGCCTCCGCTACCACCGCCTCCTCCGCTCCCTCCGCCACCGCCGCCGCCTCCGCCCCCACTGCTGCCACCAGTACCCCCACCCCTTCCACCACCCCCACTCCCTCCGACGTCTCCACCGCCACCTCCACCGCCCCCGCCAGCTCCTCCAGCGCCCTTGCCCCCCTTGCCCCTACCTTTTTGGGGCTTCCACGAAGGGGCTGACGCAGCGCCGACCGACTCGAAACCAACGAGGTCGGCCGCAGCAGCAGAAGCGACAGAGGGCAAGAGGGGGGAGGGAGAACACCCCTCAAAGACAGGGGTGCCGGGGTCACCACGAGAAGCTCCTACAGCGACTATGCTCTTCTCCGCCGCTAGGAGGGACTTCTCGAGGAGGTCAATGGTGAGAGTGGTGGGGCACACTGCGAGGAAGTAGTCCCTGACCACTCTAAGGAAGTCAGGGAGTCGGGTGACTATGAAGTAGAGGGTGATGTATATGGGGGGGGGGGGGGGGGTTCTTGGCGCAGAAGTCAGCAGGAAGCGCAACGCGGTAGCGAGTGTCACTAGTGCGGAGGTGCGTAATGAGGTCAGCGACTGTGGGAAAGGCAGCAAGGTCAAGGAAGAGGTACCGCAGCATGAGACGGCTCAGTGCAGCCGTAGCAGGGGAGGAGAAGCGTGCAACTTGAGCGTCGTACAAGGTCTGAGCACTCTTGTACTGACTAAAGTGTGCACGCTCGGAGGTAGAGAGGTGGCGACGCACAGCAAGACGTGCAGCAGCGTCGCGCGTGGCCCACTGGGAACGAACAGTGGCGACAGCATCAGCAGTAGGGGCAGGGGAAGCGCCACAGGTGAGGTCAAAGAGAGAGAGAGGCCGTCTGCCCTATTGCACCGTAAGAACAGCTGCAGGTCATCTACCGAGACCTCAAAGTCAATGGCCCGACCCTCAGCGTCAAAAGCGAGGACACTAGGGGTAGCCATGACCACAGTCGACTAGCAATGCAAACAGTAGGGTGAGGGTAGTGCAATGAAAGAGGCGCTGTGCTCACCAGACTGTGTAGCTCGGGCAGCTCGGAAGTAGGGTGGCTCGGCGGCTCGGCTGGTCGGCGGCTTGGCGGCTCTGCTGATGGGCGGCTCGGCTGCTGGGCGGCTCGGCGGCTTGGGTGCTGGGCGGCTCGGCTGCTGGGCGGCTCCGCTGCTGGGCGGTTCGGCGGCTCGGCTCCTGGGCGGCTTGGCTGCTGGGCGGCCCGGCTGCCGGGCTGCTCGGCTGCTGGGTGGCTCGGCCGCGAGGCGGCTCGGCTGCTCGGCTGCTAAGCGGTCTGGCGGCTTGGTTGTCCGGCTGCTCCGTCGCCCGGACGGCTCGGCGGTGCTGCTGCAGGGCAACACGGCGGTTGGCTGCTCGGCTGGGTAGGGCTGGTCGGGCAGTCCTGGTGGCGGGCGGCGCTGCAGCAGTGAGAGGCGGCGAGGCCGCAGCAGAGGGCGGCGTGGCCGCAGGTAAGGGCGGCAGAGGCCGCAATAGTTTAGGGCGGCGGGGCCGTAGTCAGAAGGGCGGCGACAGGCCGCGGTAGGGCGGTAACGGGGCCGCAGGTAAGAGGGCGGCGACTGGCCGCTGCTAGGGTGGCGACGTGCCGCAGGTGAGAAGGGCGGCGACGCGCCGCTTGTAGGGCGGCGACGGGCCGCAGGTGAGAAGGGCGGTGACGGGCCGCTACTAGGGCGGCGACAGGCCGCAGGTGAAAGAGCGGCGTCGGGCCGCTGCTAGGGCGGCGACGGGTCGAAGGTGAAAGAGCGGCGACGGGCCGCTGCTAGGGCGGCGACGGGCCGCAGGTGAAAGGGGGCGGCGACGCGCCTCAGCTAGGGCGGCGACTGGCCGCAGGTGAGAAGGGCGGCGTCGGGCCGCAGGTGAGAAGGGCGGAGACGGGCCGCTGCTAGGGCGGCGACGGACCGCTGCTAAGGGCGACGCGACGGGTCGCTTAGAAGGGCGCGACCCTAAGCGCGCTTCGGGCAGGGGCGGAACGCGCCCCGGGCAGGAAAAAAAAATTCGGTGGGCCCTAGGAACAGTTCCCACGAGGGAACCTGCTCGATACCATGAGAAAGTATGAACGAGAATGAATGAACTATGAATGAACTGGGTACAAGTACTAACCCTAATTGGGTTGTACCCCCTATGGGATACCCCACTATAGCCTACACAAAAGTAGAAGCTATAATGTTCTGACACTCGGGTGCTTCTTGCTGTTTCTTCCGTGACCGCACTGTCCTTGAGCAGCTAGCTCGGCCAGTTGCTGTCTCCCTTGCTGACCCCTCTGGGGGCTGGGTCCTTGCGACCTCCTCCACTGTCCTCCCTTGTCCTGCAGTCCCGTCCGGCACCCTGCCAGGTCTTTACCTCCCCTCATTCTCTACGAACTTGGTGGCGGGCTCTGCTCTACATGGCGGGGGTGTTCACCAGTTCACCCCTGCCTATGAGCGTGTGACCCACTGTACGTGTTCTCAGACGGGTTGCCACCTGGCTACCTTCACTAGGCAGCCGGGGTCGGACTTGTACACAGTGACCACTGAGTCCCCTCAGGTAGCTGCATATGCGTCTGCGTCAGGTCAGCTGTCGGCTCCCTGCTCATGTCGCTCCTTGTCACACCAGACTGTCCTCTGGCACCACCGCCTTGGTCACCCGTCAGTGCAACGCCTTCGTGGCATGCAATCCCGGTACCTTGTCTCTGGTCTTCCCAGGGTTCTCCCTCCCCTCCCACCCTCGCCTGCTCCTCCCTGTCTTCCCTGTGTCGAGGGGCGGCAGCGCGCCGCTCCTCACTCCTCGTTCCCTCCCATAGAGGCTCCTCTGCAGACTCTCCACCTGGACGTGTGGGGCCCAGCCTGCGTCCGTGGACAGGGCCACGAGTGGTACTTCCTGCTGGTCATCGACGACTACACGTGCTACACCACGGTCTTCCCCTTGCGCACCAAGGGTGAGGTCCCTGATGTTTTGATCCCTTGGATCCGCGCTGCTCGTCTCCAGCTCTGCGAGCAGTTCCAGTCGTACTTTCCCGTCCTGCGCCTGCACTCTGACAGGGGTGGTGAGCTTTCTTCCGACCTCTTGGCAGCCTACTGTGCGGAGCACGGCATCCGCCAGACGTTCACGCTTCCGCCCTATCCACAGTAGAATGGGGTTGCTGAGCGCCGCATTGGCCTAGTCATGGAGGTCGCTCGTACCTCCATGATCCATGCGGCTGCCCCCCATTTCCCGTGGCTGCGTTGAACGGGGGAGGTTGGCGATGCGTCGGTGTTCCGGGTCTGGGGATGTCGAGCCTTTGTCCTCGATACGACCGCGGACAAGCTCTCCTCCAGTGCCGTTCCTTGTGTCTTCCTTGGCTTTGTCCCTCATGCGCCTGGCTGGCAGTTTTACCACCCCACCTCGCGCCGTGTGTTCCCCTCTTAGGACGTCACTTCTGACGAGTCGGTACCCTTTTATCGTCTCTTCCCCTACCGTACTGCCCCGCTTCCCCCCCCCGCCGCTCTTTCTCACCCCAGGTGTCCTGTGGGTAGACCCCCTCCCTCCCCAGGGTGCTGCTCCCTCAGGTGTTTCCCAGGTAGACCCGGTCGAGCCTGTCGAGGTAGCTGTCGACTCTGGTCCTGCGAGGGGTACTGAGCATGGGGGTGTTTTGACTGGGGGTGCTGAGCCTGGGGGTGCTGCAACTGGGGGTGCTGAGCCTGTGGGTGCTGCGCGTGGGTGTGCTACGACTGGGGGTGCTGAGCCTAGAGAAGCTGAGACTGGGGGTTCTGAGACTGATCGTGCTGCGCATGGTGGCGCTCCTTCTTCACAGCAGCTGCGTGAGTGGTACTCCCAGAGTTGCAGCCTCCGGCGTGGGGCTATTGGAGCTGGGGGTTTTGCTGGAGTTGGAGCTGTTGGTCCCGCGGGTGTAGTGTCGCGGTCGGAGCCTCCCTACCCTCAGTGGCTACGTGAGTAGTACCCTCGGCGCTGCAGCCTCCGGAGTGGAGCTCCTAGTTTTGGGGTACCGCCTGCTGGAGGCCCTGCTGCTGCTAGAGGTACTGGAGCTGCTGGAGATGCTGCTGGTGCTGGTCCTGTTAGAGGTGCTGCTGGTGCTGCTGGAGGTACTGGAGGTGCTAGAGCTGCTGGTGGTGCTGCTGGTACTGGGGCTGGTGGTGCTGCAGGGGCTGGAGTTGGAGGTGCTGACGCTCGTCCTCCTGCCGGTGCTGGAGCCGACGGTGCAGCTGGAGCTGGTGCTGCTGGAGGTACTCGAGTTGACACTACTGGAGCTGCTGATGGTGCTGCGGGAGTTGGAGCTGCTGCTGGAGGTTCTGGTACTGTCTCGGCCGCGGCCGTACTTCGTTCCGCTCCTTCAGTAGGTTCTTGGTCAGCCGCCTCCTCCTTGTCATGCTCCCTCCTTAGAGTGTCCTCCGCCTGTCCAGTCCCAGTCACAGTTACAACCTGCCTCGCCACTTCCTGGTCCTTCTCCTTACACTGGTCCGACGGGAGGTCTCACGAAGCGTCGTGGGCCCGAGTCTCGTCCAGTGTCGCCTGAGTCTCGTTTAGCATCACCTGTTCGTGCTGCTCGCACTGGTAGTCGTGTCCCGCGTCAGCGTCCTCCTGCTGTCCCAGGCACTCACCAGATGATGCTTCGTCTTTCCACTGCTCCACAGCATATACCTCTGCCTTCTCCTTCTGCGTCCTCCCTTCCTGCCCTTGCTGACCCGGGGTCTGCCTCTCTTCGTGCTGCTAGTCCTACTGTCACGCGTCTCCTGGCCACTGCTGTCACTGACCCTTCCTTTTTAGTCAGTTGCTCCGTTTGCCTTAGTTACTGAGCTTGTCGAATTTGCTGCTCACTGTCGTCGAGGCTACGCTGCGAGTCTTGTTGCTGAGTTTGAGTCTGTCTGTCCTCCGTCCGTCGGGGGTGAGTGTGCTCTTGGCACATACGTCCCTTGATCGATGGGGGTTTTAGCAACTGAATGCACAGCGGGTATAATGCTGCTTACCAAAGCGCCTTCTCCCTACGGGGGGTTGGTTTCCTCCGAGGATCTCCTTAAAGCCCCAAAAAAAAAAAAAAAAAAAAAAAAGGCAAATACGTCCTTGAGGACAGGTTGGAGGAGTTCGAGTGCTTATCCGCTGTTGTACCTCATCTCGTGTCCATGCTGATTGCACCTGAGGGAGGCTTGGATGCTCCAGACATCCCGACCCAACGCTCTTACGCTGAGGCGATCGCGGGTGAGTACTCCTCTCAGTGGCAGACAGCCATGGATGCAGAGATGGCATCCTGGAAGTCCACTGGCACTTACGTTGACGAGGTTCCTTTTTTTGGGGCGAACATTGTCAGTGGCATGTGGATTTTTAGGGTGAAGCGGCCGCCAGGTTCTCCGCCTGTCTTCAAGGCTCGTTATGTTACTCGAGGCTTCAGTCAGCGAGAGGGAGTAGACTTCTTCCAGACCTTCTCCCCCACCCCAAAGATGACCACTCTTTGGGTGCTACTGCAAGTTGCCGCTTAGCGTGACTACGAGCTTCACTCACCTGACTTCAGCACAACTTTCTTGTAGGGCAGCCTGCACGAGGAGATCTGGCTGCGCCGCCCACCTGGCTTCACTGAATCGTTTCCTCCTGGTACCCAGTGGAGCCTCCGGCGGCCGGTCTACGGTCTCCGCCAGGCGCCACGTGAGTGGCACGAAACACTGAAGACTACACTTGTGGCTCTTGGGTTCGCGCCTTCTACTACTGACCCGTTGCTGTTTCTGCGCACCGACACTTCACTGCTGCCGTTCTACATCCTCGTATACGTCGACGACTTGGCCTTTGCCACTGCTGACACTGAGGCTCTCGCCCACGTGAAGTTGGAGCTGCAGAAGAGACATACGTGCACAGACCTGGGTGAACTGCGCAGCTACCTTGGCTTGCAGATCACCCGGGACAGAGCACGCCGCACCATCACACTTACTCAATCACACATGGTGCAGCAGGTCCTTCAGCGCTTCGGCTTCACGTG